TACCGCTTCGAGACCTCGACAGGTCCATCGTGATGGATCCGACACGGCAGAATGTTTGGAGTACAGACAGCGGACGCCGAAGTCGCGTTGCCATCCGCGGACTTATCCTGTGCGCTTTGCAGAGCCAGCATTTTAGACTGAATCACGCTTGCGAAGCTGAGAGCACTAGTGCCAAAAGGCCGACTCGGGAACTCAATGTAATGCAGATGAGGATCAATTCGTCAAAAGTTATACTTATTTCACTAAACAAGGCCAAAAAGCGGCTTTGCTGATAGATAATGGTATAACAGGTGGTTTTCTCGAGTGATGGCGATGGTCGAGTTGGGCTACGCGCGACGCGTCGGAAACGTTAATTAATATGACTGCGGGTATCGGCATCCCGTCCACTGGGGATACCTTAGGCACATACTTAGTCCAGTTTCACGACTATACAAATGGACGTATTCTACGGAGTTATCGTCTTATAAAAGCTCTGAAATGAATTTTGTACATGAATTGCATACGAAACTTAATGCTGGTATCAATGCAAGGAACAAAACCAACTCAGACCAATGAAATCGCACAGTAATTACTGAGGATCCAGATCATCTCTTTCTGCTTTTCTTCTTGGTCTTTTTCTTCTTCTTCGCCGGTTTCCCCTTGTCCTCGCCTTCCTTCACGACCCGCACGGGCCATTTCTTTGCATGCTCCCGATCAAACGACTCCTTATCTCGTCTGAAAAGAAGCATCGTGGCCCTCGCGTCTTCGACACTCGAATGGGCTCCTTCCTGGATCTTCAATCCAAGCAGCTCCGCAGCCAGCACTCTCAGCGGCGGGGAACCGCCTCCGGTAAGCTTTCGGTACGGCGGATGCCTGCTTGTATCTCGTATGTCACGTTTTGGATGGCTTAACAGGAGGGCTTCCAAGTCATTCCTCACTGCATGGCCGATCAGGATCTTGCCTTCGATTATTTCGGCGACATCCTTCTGGACTTCCTCCAGCGACCGGGCGTTGGCCATGTCTTTCGGTGAAACTCCGCTCACATGTGTCCTCCAGTCCGTGACCTTCTCTTTGGGCCTGACGAAAGAGTCATAGACCTGGTCGCCGTTCCAATTGACGATACTCACACGCGCAAGGGCCGAATCCTCCTCGGGATTTGGGCCAACGCCCACCATCTCACAATCGATCGCGAGGTATTTGCCTATTTCGGCTCTGCAAGAGGTCAATGTAAGAAATAGTAGTAAGAAAAAGAGGCCGCAGTTGGTGACTCACGTTGGAGAACGACCCTCATTCACCTGCCCATTTCGCGGTTCCCCCTTCTCAGTCGAGGCCGTAGAATTTCGCCGCGACACAACCTCCGTCTCTATTTTCTTCACCTCCTGGGTCCCTTCGGACCCGGCAACCTGGGACATCCTCCCCGGCTTGGACGATTTCTTTTGTTTCGCGGTTTTCTTCTCAGTAGGGATCTCCGCTTTCCTTCTCTTCACAGCATTCTGCGGCTCGGAATCGGAGATCTTGCGCTTAGAGGACGAGGTTGAACCGGGTCCGCTTTCTTTTTCCTTTCCTTTTTTCAGTTGCTCCTGGAGTTTCTTCCAATTGCTCGAGAGGTCTTTGAGCTCCATATTAGTGTGCAGAAACCGCCTCAGGATCCATGGTATCCAAGGCGAAAACAAATTATGGCCTGCAGTTTTGTCTGCACGAGATAATTTTCCTCGATAAGACTGGCAAACCAGACAAACACTGCTCTCCGCAGATGCCCATGACGCTAACCCAAACAGGGATTAGTGCAGGCCTTCTATACAAACCTACATTACAGGCAGATATCCTCCGGTTCTTCATGTATTAGTTCCTTGAAACATCTTTTCGCCCGACTGTTTGAAAAAATTCTGGTCTATTCCAAGGACTTTTGACTCCGTCCTGTCTTTATATCTACTTCGCTGACGGGGTCTCCACCCATATTCCTCGCCATATATTTCACCATCTACTCTCTAGATGGGCTTCGTACCTTAGCCTTCTTCATGGCTCCTCACTCCCCTGGTTGAGAACTGCATGTAGTCTTATTGCGGCCCTGTCTGTCGACAGAATCAGATCCAACCACACGTTTCCTTTCCAGCCTCGATTGATTTGTATGAATAATAGCGTCACTAAAACTGGCTCTTATGGATTCCCATATTGAGTGCGAAAAAAGTATTCAGCGACAAAATAACTCAGTTTACTAGTGCTTGTTTTCCTGTGTCTAAAAAGATGTCAAATATTTATTTTATTTTTTTTAGGGTAGTAAGCAGGTCCGTTCTCCAGCTATAGGGGCTTGTAGCTAAGATTTTAACTCAGCCTTATTATAAGGTGTCCATGGGAGCAATTTTTTGACTGGGTGAGGAGTTGCATCCAAGCAATTAGGCGGCTATAATATGGCTTATAGGGAAAATAAAAGGCCTATAAGTGGGTGGTCAGGGGGGCGGAAGGTACCTGGCAAAGGCAATTAGTCTGTAATCTTATTCTTTTTAAGCTGCCTGAGCAAAGCGATGAGTTCAAGGTCTGTGTTTATATCGAAATCTGAAAATTGTTAGCGTACTGGTGCCATCACGACACACACCTTTTTACCTGAGTGGTAGGTACCTAATGCACCAACGAAAATTAATGTTGTTTTAAATTTCAGAAAGATATTTACTCCGTATATCTTTGATAGCGTTATCTTGAGTCATTTTTTTTTTAATTTTCAGAAAATCATACCTAATATTGGGCCCTTAATTCTTGTTTTTAATGAGAATTCATATACAAAAGTTACAAGTTTCCGCTTGAAGATGTTTTTCATTATTTTAACGAGGGGAGATATAGGAGCATATTAATGAGTTTTACACCTCTCTATAGTAGATACAGATCAGTATAGCCACCTAAGGCTTAGGGTGTTCCTTCTCCAATCCACCATAGTGCCCTTAGAGTAGATATCCATGAGAGTATACTGAATAAATACTCTTGCATTGCTCCTCCTTCTTATATTTTAGTCAAAGGATAATATTTATAGATTTTAATATAATAAGAGGAAGTTGAGGAACGAAAGAGGGATGGATCTATTCTACCTTGTTCCTCTGTTCCTTAACTATCTAATGCTTATAATCTAACTTCAATAGGTGCAGAGATCTCATTATGATTCCCACTATAAGCTTTGAACTATATGTGAAATGAGGTGATATTCTCTTCCTCTGCCAACTATCTTGCCCCAGTAATGGTAATAAGACTAAATAGTATTAGTAAATAGTAGATGATCATGGTTGATAGCTTTATTGTTAGTAGTTATATAGGCAGATCAATAGGTGGAATAGCAAAGACTTGAGGATACTTACTACTGCCTGCCTTGTAATAAAAAGGCATCATGGAAGTAATATTATAGTTAAATTGAGATAGCGACTAGATTAAGGGGAGAATTCAAATTAATTGTAACGGGCTCACCTTGGCTTCATCCATATATCAAAAAACAATAGGGACTACTAGACCCAGCACCGTATTGAGATGCAAGCCCTTCGCTGGGGTACAATTTTCCGCGAGTTATTATTTTATACGCTAGATTTCTGCGTCTGGTAGTTACCTGTTTAGATTATGTAATAATTACCTAGTGACCAAGTCCATCTAACCCCTGCCTTAACGAACACTGAACAGTTAGGTACAGTACAACTGCTTCTCTGACAATAAAAATCTTCGCCATGTTCACAATCCCATCGGTTCGATTTAGGTTTCAGAATGAGCTTCATCAGTCGAATCATCGCTCGTCTACTCCCTGCAGCAGCAATCTCACAGAGAGATTCTCAAAATCCACCACCATTGCTCAAAATGCCAACCGAAATTCTGCTGATGCTCGGGGAGTACTTATCACCTGTGGACTTAGCTTGTCTGGCTTTGTGCAGTCACGCGTTGCTCGCAAGGCTAGTGGTCAAGTCCTTATTGCTCTGCAAGGATGACCAAAAACGGCGAGAAATGTTCCTAACGCGACTAGCACAAGATCTGCCCCGACATTACCTTTGCTATTGTTGCTTTCGTCTTCACCTTTGAGAGGACGTCGGTCCTCCGGGTCCGCTAGTCCGACCGAGGAAAATCTTAGATGCCGTCATATGCAGCCCGAACTCGACTTGGGGCTATGTCCACCCATTCACTTCGGCGTACCGTTTTACCTTCTGCCATCTGCACCTGGCTATGCGGCGGCACTATTACGGTCCGCAATACGGTATCCCGCTCGAGTCGTTGTCGTTCGTGGAAGTTATGTGCGACGACGAGGGGCGCACGACATTATTGTCCGTCGAGGCGCGGATTTGCTCAGAACCGACAAGCCTATGCTTGCGAATGCAGCAATGGGCCGTATTCAGGTGCATGGAGCGCGGTATCCTACTCTCAAAGTTTCATTTCGTCCTGATCTGCGATCATATCGGCGTTGCTCGTCGGAAGACCATAGCTTCATTTATTATGGAGTCTGAAAGGACGCCTGGTGCAGTTTTCAAATGTCACTTCTGCAATATTGACTTCCAGATCACGATTCGAGAATACGATGGGGGTCTGGCCATGGTCGTTACGAAATGGTTGGACCTTGGATCTGGCCTCACACCAGATGATACGAGATGGAGAGTGCACTGTGGTCGGGACTGGCACGTCGAACCCGGTGCGCTCCGTGAGGCTGGAACCCTGCGCCAGCGATTTGAGAATGAATTCGGTCCATCGCAGGATCTACTCTCTCATCAGAATGAATCGTACTTGAGTGGGCAGAATTTTAAAAAGACAATGAACCGCTGGGGTAGGAGGTGGATTCTACAGGGTGGTCGACGTCTGCGCAGTGGCAGATGGTAGTATGACTTACTTATCTAGTTCTCGTTGAAACTTGCATATATACCTACCACATTCACCGAGTCCCGTGGCCATGGATAAGATCGGTGGCTTTCTTTCGTGCCTTCCTGATCTGGAGAATACATACAGCGCGGAACCTGCCAGCTTTCCAAGGTCCATGTACGTCCTTCCGCTTGGGAAGGAGCGCTCTGTGTAGAAACAGCCTCTTCGAATGGGGATACTTGTCCTCCCCCCGTCTTGGGATTCCCTTCTGCTCTCTTCTTTCTCCTCCACGTCTCTCCATTCTGGTCCCCGGCACCGCAACCTTACTTGAGTCTATCGTAAGGAACCGTTACAGCTCCTAACTTTTGCAATGGCAGATTCCGCAGATCAAATCGCTCTCTGGGACACAATTGGAACTTGGCTTGCTATTCTACTTGATCCAATTGTTGACACCCTCTGGAGCTACATGGTTGGGAGTTTGAGCAATTCACAAAGGGTGGAATCCCGTGACGAGATTGATCTCGAAGCGGCACTCCCTTCGAAGCTTGGATATGTGGCCTATTCCACAGCGTGGCTTTGCAGGGCCCTTATGTAAGGTATGTACTGTAACGTAATTCCCGGCCGCTCCGATCACCCACCCGCGCCCGCAAATACTATATAGAATTTGAAGCTTTATTATCTACCAAAAACAGCAATTATTTACAAAAATTATGAATTAGAGCGATTAGGGCATCGAGTCCGTATATGCCCAATAGTTCTACAGTTAGTACACTTTGGCGGCGCGCGTGTACGAGGTGCCGAAGCCGCCTCCGCGGCCGGTGCGGCCACACCCTCTGCCATCTGATTCTGATCCGGAATTTGACTCTGTATAAGATCCTGAGCTTCTTGGACTGTAAGACCTCCTTCATGGGATATTTGATTGGTCGATCGTTTGCGCTTCTGCTTCTGCTTCTCATTTGCAGCCTGTAGATCATGATTTTCCTTTGCAAGAATGACAGCACTATTCATAGCTAATTGACAGCCCTTGATAAGCTGATTCAAAGCCACATTGATAGGGCTCGGAGGGCTCTGCATACGCTGATTTAGTAAGGCCTTGATTGTAGCTGCCTGATGCTGTAATTCAATAATATTATGAGGCGTCTCTGGCACCCAATTGGTTGGTATAGTGCCAGCACGGCTCCCAGGTGGTGTAGGGGTCTTCAGCTGTATATTGAGCTGTAGAAGGACCCAATCTCGTTGAAATGGCACTAATCCAGTTGCCGCAAAGCCATTTTTGATATTCTCCGATTTAAAGGCTTTTACACAAGCTTTTGGGTGTGCTTCGAGGAAATCCAGCTTGTCGATGTGATTGATTCCAAGCTGCATATTGTCTTCCATAAGGTGACCATATGCACGCTTTAGAACTGCAAAACAGCTAATATCAAGAGGCTGTATGAGATGAGATGAATGAGGAGGCATGCAGATTAGTATAATATTATTCTGGGTGCAGATGCGGTCGAATTAAGGAGTCAGATGGCTTCCATGCCCATCAAGGACTAAGAGTCGATATTTACCCTTTGTCTGAGCATTCATATATGGGATGAAGTGATTTTGAAGCCATGATATGCCAATCTCATCTGTAGTCCACCCATTAGGACTTTTCTCGATTCTCCAGTCGCGTGGTAAGGTTAGATCCTCATACCAGGCCTGGAGATGAGTCTTCCCTTTGAAAATAATACATGGTGGCAGTACCCATCCTGCCGAATTGACTGATTCAATAACTGTCACCTATTCCTTATTCCCAGGCTGTAGAAGAGGTGGACGACCAGACGTCTCTGCTCCAGTAACCACCTTTGCAGTAGTAATCAGGCCCATTGCAAAACCTGTCTCATCAAAATTGTAGATATCATCTTCAAGAATGCCGTATTGTTGAATAGTGCTTTGTATGCAGTTGAACCATTCACTGATAACCTTGGATCCTCGCATTTAGTACGCTGATAGTTATATCTTTGCAAATATCGTGTTGT